AATCAGTGTTTACTGAGTCCCCTCTTGAATGCTCCCAGAAGACAATGTGCTCACTTTCTTTCTCACTACACTGTGAGCTCCTTGAATGAAGGTACCTTATTTTTGGATGGCCAGAACCTAAAAGCAATTGATATATAGTAGGCTCGCAATACACACCTAATTATAAGCTTAATGATTAAAAATGTCAATACATTGACTTATAGAGGCAATTTAATGAACAAAATTGATTGTTAATACATTTCAGTCCAGTATCTACTAAATGAATTGCCTTGAAACGAAATTAAACTAAGATTGAACATTTGAAAGAAAACATATTTGCTTTATGAAAAACTATGAGTTTGCTGTTAAAGGGTTGATTTATCATTTTTATAGCAAATAGCACAGTACCCACTTTTCTGGTAAAAACTAAAAAGAACTGGTTATCAATTTCTTCTTTTTTTTTAATTAGGGAATTGGGGGATGGGAACAGTGCTGGGGAATTGGGGGAAAGGGAACAGACAAGTTGCTGTCCTTTTGTTCTTCAGTCTAGTTGTGGAGGACGTTGCTTCACTGGCCCAAGTTGGCACCATCACTGTGCTCTTCCTGGGCGAGGCAGATCAGTCGTGGCTTCTGGACGGCCGGCTGCTGGCCGCTCGCACTGGCTGCTAGCTACTGGCTACACACGGTAGCCCATGGCAACCCACTGCCACAGGGGCTGCAGCCTACGCTGTTGCCGGCGACTCATGGCAGCCCAGCTCCAGGTTGAGCTGTTGTTCAGCATCTTAGCTGTAGAGGGCAGTGTCACTGGCCCTCATATGTGGGATCTGAACCGGGGCCTTCTGGCGTCCCAAGCCAGCTCTTAACCAACGCGCCACTCGGCTGGCCCAGGTTATCAATTTCATAGGAAAGCTAAAACTGAATTTTTGGCTCAATGCTTAGTTTTATCATGTTTTCCACTAAGAGCATGTGCAGCTGTTTATGAAACACATTTAAAATAAGCCCCACATCAAATGAGAAATGATCAAATATTTACTTTAAAAATCTCACAACTGCTAATATAAGTCTCATTTGTAGTCTTCTGATTTTGTGGCTAAAAATAAACCATGGCAAATTAAGTGGTTTATCCTAATACTAGCTAAAAAAGATGAGAATGGCTAGGAAAAAAAAATTTTTAAGTTGTAAAATTATGTGCTTTAGGAACAGCAGTGCCATCTCAGGGACATTCTAGTTGGTTTCCAATCTCCTCCTACTCTTCCTTTCTTCCTTCAGACAGAGAGCGCTCTTTCTTAACCAACAAACTTCCCTTTGTTTAGATTTATACCACTGGTCTGAATAACCCCAAAGCACCAACATAACATGCCTATGACTGAAAGCAATAAGAACAGAAAGCAGAGCTTTGGCGCTTGGAGCCCAAATATGTATTTACTATACATAAGTTGAATTTTTGAGAAGTCCATTTTCTAAGTTGACATGCATTTTAAATATAAAGTAGTTAAGTTCTCCTGAAAATCAGGTCACAAAACCATGTGAATGGGGCTGCTGTAAATTCCGTCATCAACCTGGGCCTCACACTCTAGGCATGCCCTCCGTTATCCTATTAAATGTCCTTTTCTGAGACAATTCCATGCCACGCTTTTCTCACTCATCTCTGAACCCCTAATTATTCTCTATTTCACTTACTCTCATTCCTTCCACCAATAAATCCACATAATGTAAAGCTAGCTTTCTCTCCAAACTGAGAATTAAGTACACTCTCAATCATGCACTTGTACACTTATTGAGGGGAGTGTAATTTAGCATTCCTCTTACAAGAGGAACTGAGCTGTGTGTCTGGAAAACAGAATGAAAGAACCTAATTTTTCATCATATACCTTTCAATTTTTCTGCCATGGTATATGTGCACACAGTTAAAAAATAATGAAATATATGTCACTTAAAAGTGTCTAGTCCTGCTTTCTCTAAACTCTGCTCCACTGGTAATCCCTATCCTCCACTAGCTTCACCCTCTTCCACAGCCTATTATCATGCTCAAAATCTTCCATTTTATTAAAAATAGATAAAATGAAATTTTAAAAATTTCCCTTCCCAAAGAAGTGTCCCCCTTTTAGTTACTACCCTTTGTCCTCAGCCAAACTTCTTTAAAGAATATTTACTCTCATTCTCTTTTCCCCATTTCTCATTCATACCTCAACCCCACTACAGTTTTATTTCTCCTGAAACCACTTTCCCTTCCGTCACAATAGTCCCTGTTAAACAATCCCATCATCCCAGCTTAGTTGTTATGTTACGTCACCTCTGCTTCAATATTGTTGACAACTCCCTACTTCAACTCTTCTCCTGTGGCTTTCCTGGAGCCTCCATCTTACAATGAATGCTTTCTCAAACCCCTTCATTGGATCACCAAGCTCCCTCCCCTTGATCCTTAAATGTTGGTGTTTCCCAGAGTTCCAACTGGGACCAAATTCTTTATTGTTGCTGCTTTTCATTTACGTTTGTGCAAACCAACCACTACCAGAGATTAAAGCACTTTTTTAGTGTTACTAACTCTCAGTCTGGCTCTTCAGATCAGGCTTCTTCTTCAGCTCTACATAAATTTCTCACAGGCTGGTTATGATCCCCTAAATTTCTTCACTGAACAGTAGATGCTTCCTTTCTGTCACCTTGCCACATCCAATCCATTACCAAATCCTGTGTAGTCTGATACTAATACATATCCCAAATTTACCCACTTCTCTTCATTCCCTTTTCTATCATCCTAATTCAAACGATCATCTTCTAGACTCTGAACCAACCTCCTAACAGGACTCCATGTTAATCTCTTATTCCTCCCTATTCTCCATAGGCAGCAAGAATAATGTTTTTAAAGCTAAACTTAAAAAAAAAACAAAAAAAGTCAAGGGTTCCCATTAATACCTAGAATAAAATCCACATTTCAAGTCAGTCTACAAGGCCTGGCCCAGTCTGGCCCCTGACTACTTATCCCCCATCTTGCACCACTCTCCTCCTTGCTCACACTCAGCCAGAGACACAGACCTTTTGTCATTTCTTTTCATTTCCTCATCACACTCTCTTCTATCTCTGGGTCTTTGTAACTGTTCACTGTACCTGGAATACTCTTCCCTTTTGTTCTTTAATAAATGTTTCCTATTATTACATGAATATTGCAGGTCTGAACAAATAAGACTGGAAATCATGAATAATTTAGTTCCTTCAACTGCTAAGTCATTTTAAATGTATTACTTTAATGCCTCAGATTTCTTACCAACTAAATAGGATGGTAACTAAAGAGGTTCAAAAATTGGTAAAGATGATATAAACAGAGCTCAAAATAAACATGAAATAATATATTATTATCTGTCTCATCCCTTATATTGGTGTTTAACATATTTTGGGGTTTGAAGTAGAATTTTTAAGAAACAAGTTTTTCTACTCTTTGTAATTATAGATGTTAACCATTTTCAGTGGAGAACAAAACTCCTTGGCCCATATTTTCAACTGTAGATTGACCAAACCTTTGAATCAGAAAGGCCTTTTGAGATGAAATCCAATCCTATCATGTCTTACATTTATAATTAGAAAACTGAGGTGGATTTGGAATGGGCTTTTGGGGTCTTAATGAGCAGCTCTCTGGGGGACAGGAATTGCAAGTTGAGAGCAACTTGTTCAAAAGTACTAAAGCAGGGGTTTGGACTTATTCTAGATGGTCCAAGGTATATAGAAACCAGTATTAGGAAATAACACTGGAAAATACTGTGTAATTATCCAATCTTTAAGGTAATTTCTGAAGTAGGTACAGGTTACCTGACCTGTAACTTTGAAGCAAGGCAAATCTAGGTTTAAATCTCCGCTTAATGTCTTTGAACTTCAGATTAGTGCAAAAGGGTTATTACAGAGATTGAGTGAATGTATGTAGAACTCATAAATGTGGTGCCTGGCCGATTGAAAGTACTCAAATATTTGTTCTTTACGACCCCTTCCATCATATGAATACAAATCTATAAAATAACAAAACACTGTCTTTCATAATGTGCACTTGCTGAATGTCTGAGACTTGTTGAACATTACTTAATTTTAAAAATAGAAAGCTGGAAGAATGCTGAGATGATAAAGTGTCTTCATCCCTGCCCTTTCTCACCAGCAAATGTCCTTCACGTTTAGTTCTGTGTCATGTCACCACCAGCAACATGCTATTTGGAGATCACTGTAGCTCAGGCATCCAGTTCTACAGCAAAGATTTGAAGGTCGGGAAAAATGTACTGAAACAGGTTTTTTTTAAAAACCGGAAAAGTCCATTTTATTTTATTTATTTATTTATTTCATTTCATTTTATTCTTATGGTCCACTCTAGCTTGATGAATTTCCAGTAAAAAATTACTGGTTTTTGTTTTATTTTCCGGCGCAGAAACTGCAGGTTTAAATAAAAGATTTGTGGGCAAGTAGCTGAGTTCAGCACTATTATTAATGACCCTGAAATCCTTTAAGTTTTAAGATTATCTTTATGCTGGCACTAAAAGTAAAAAGGACGTCTGCCAATATCCATTATTTACGCTTGAGACTAAAGTCTACCGTTTCTGTTAAAAGACGTGTGGAATCTGGTTCAACTTCAATTGCAAGAAGAACCCAACTCAAATCAAGAGCTCTTTCCAATACCCTCTCCTTTCGCTCACATGACAGATGGCGACCGAGGTTTGACGGCCAAACACTAAAGCTGCTATCGCTCAAGGATGGGGCTCTCGGTGGATACTGTCCCGCAGAGGAGGAGATGCTGCCAATCCTCGGCGGTGGGGTGAACCCGGAGGCCAGAGCCCAGCGACCATCACACTTCGCACCCACACTTCGGAAACCCACTTCCCACCGCCGGGCGGGGATCCGGCGAGAACCCAGCCCTCCCGTACCCAGCCTTCGGCTCCAGTGTCCGCGCGTGACCTCCGAGGACCGAGAGGGGCGCGGGGCAGGCAGGCTCCTCTGCCTTCAGGGGAAGTTGGCAAGGGCAATATCGGGTCGTGCACCAGGTTACTCACAAGAATGGCTCGGAGTCCTCCTTCCTCCGCCCGCACTCTCTCAGGGAGAAGCCTCTAAAGCGGCGGCAGGTTGAGAACAGCAGCCGAGCGGCCGCCGCCGCTTGTAACCTCCCGGGCGTGGCAGAGATGGGCGGGCGACTTCACATCATTACTTGGCGACTTCAGTTTTACAGCAACGCCGGGTCAATGGCAGTCCCCAAGCAATTGGGGAAAAGCAAAAGAGACCCACTTTCCCAGCAGCCTCCACTGCTCCAGCGCACGACCTGCTGGGAATTGTAGTTTCCTATCGGCCCCGCCCCCTCATCCTCTAGCGTTGTTTCCCCTCTGTCCCGTCCCCACGCTCGAAGGCCCCGCCCCCTAGCTGCCTGGCCCTGGGGCGGGAGGCGGGGCCGCGACCCTGGGGTCGGGGTGGGGCGAAAGCCCTCTGGGCAGATTGCCTGGGACTGGGGCAGAGTGCCAGGCCGATTGTCCCGGTCCGGGTCGTGCCGGCTTCCTGCGCCCAGCGGCCGGCGCTGGGAGCGGGCCTTGCGCGCTTGCTTTGCCCCTCGGCTGACCTGGCTCCCACGCACGCCCAGGCCCCGCACAACTGGCCGCCTGAGGAGAGTCGCTGGCGGTGATCGCCTCGGGTAATGAAGGGAGGCCAGGTCCGGGAGGGGAAAATCTAGGGGCGGGTTGGGGACAGGAGGGAGCGCGGCTCGGTCCGTGCTCGCCGCGGGAAGCCCGAGGCTAGAACTCGCCGCTGCTTCTAGATCCCGGCCCGGCGTGGCTAGCGGCCCCTGCATCTCGCGCAGCTCCGGCTCTGCAGTGAATCCCGGGCCGCGCGGTGGTGGAGGCACCTGCGTGCGGGCTAGGAGGTGCCCGCTGGGGTTGGCGGCGCCAGGTGCGCGGGGCCCGAGCTGCCCGCACCGCCTTCTACCCCCAAACTCTCACCTTTGGCTGAGCTCACGAGCCTGGCAGTTTCCAAACCGAAGACACCCTCCGGCCGGACTGGGGTGCCACCTTCTGCGAGTTCGCTACAAAGTCCCCCCTAAAGCAGGCCTAGGAAGGAACCTTTTATAAAAGTAAAGGCTCAAGCTTTGTTTGTTTTGTCCTCGGCATTTAAATTGAGCGTTGTGTTTTTCCCTCGTGGGTTTGTTGTATGCAGCACCTTTTTCCTCAAAACTTGATCAGGATTTGTGAGACAGCGCCTGCTTAACACAGAACACACAGTAGGCGTTCAGTAAATACTTTTTGAAAAAACATGAGTCACGATACTAAGTTTGGAAAATTCTGAATTGTGCGTCGCTGTAATTTTTAAGATATTATGGGTTCCCCAAGATCACTTTGAAAATTACAGTAATTTTAAAGCTCAGCAAAGAGAGTTAAATCAGGTTTCTTGCATTCCTTATGACAATGAACTCTGTTGGATGCTTAAATCAACTCAAAACCCGAGTTCTGTAAATAGGCACAGCCTGTTATTTTCACAGCGTCAACCTTTCAGATTAAAGCCTTCCGATGAACCATTCTATTATAGAACAAATTTAAATAATTTATAAAGCTTTATCCTAATTAGCTTTTTAGATATAAGTGCAAGGGACCATACTAATGTGCTTGTGTATACATTTAGAAATCTAGGCCTCAGAAATACGAATTTTTGAAAAGTATTTATATTCATACCTAGTGAAAGAGCATGCAGAGAAAATTATGACAGCGAATGGTAACAACCCCCCCCCACCCCCGCTCCTTACTAGATGCAGCTGCTGCCTTGACCTCAAGATGTCTGTAAAATTATCTTTTAATAGTCTGGCATAACTAAAGCAAAAGCCTCTGGGATTAAACCACCCCATGGGGACAACCCCTGTAGTACTAACAAATTTCATAGATTGTGCCTGTTCTGAGTTTTTCTAAAAAATAGGTGATGTATAAAGTTTAAAGTTTTTTGTTGTTTAAGAAAGAACTTACTAAGTGGAAAAAGCAGGAAACAAAATCCTAATAACCAGAAAATTCAGTTAATCATGACATCCCCAGTCTTTCTGCTTGTGGGAAGGAAAGCTACAGGTGGTCAGGGACTTATCTGCAGCGATCACCAGTGAATGTCCCCAGTGCCCAGCATAGAGCCTGATCCATAGTAGCCATTCTTTAAACAACTGTGGAATGAATACTTGGCTGTTTCACATAACAGTATAATGACTTTCTGTGTATATATGCTTTCTTCATTTGCTTGCATATTTCCTTAGGCTACTAGAAGTGAGAATTTTACTGGGTCAAAGGGTATGAACATTTTCATGGCTATGGAAACATTGCCAACTAGCTTATATATACCATTATAAATAAATATATATATACCATTTTGTGCTGGTATAGTTGAGTGTGCCTTTCAGAGCATCCTCTAAGCCCTTATACTGATACAGTGTTTGGTAGTTATGAGTATTTTAGATGAAGTATCTCTTTTGATCACAATCACCCTGGAAGGTGGACAGGGCAGGCATTGCGTTCCCTCTTTTGTAACAGCAGATTCCAGCACCTTAAATCAATGATAGTGAATGGCAGATGACAAAGTAATCATACATTTTCAGGTTCTTCTTCCTCCCATTCTCTACCTTTGGCTTGTAGTGAACATCCTGAATAAAGTTACATCTTTCCTTGGCAATAAAATTGGGTATAATATTGATGGTTTATAAAATCTTCCTTTTCTTTCTCATTTTGCTTAGATATTTGCAGATGCCTTGATCAAACTTGAGGACTTAATTAAAATGGAATAATGAAGCACAATTTATATGAAAGAGAAGATATTTATATGAAGAGAAGATAAGGAAACACCCAGGCACTAGCAAGTTTAGAACTTTGCTACCCTTTCTATTAGGAAAGATCTGGAAACTTTCAATAGTGCTTTTGTAGCTCCTTGAATTTGAAGAAGTTGCGATTTTAAATCTCTTCATAAACTACTGAGATTAATACTTTATTAGTGAATTTGGAGAGGGATTATTTGAATAATAATCTGCATATCTTTCATATCTGTCAATAAATTCCAAGAATAAAATTGAGAACTAAAAATCACAAGGTAAAAATATTCAACCTATAGAAAATAATACTTTCATGTGAAAACTGAAAAAAAATTCTCTTATTCTAAACATATGGCAGCAAGAAGATGTTATTAATTCCTAGTCTGTTACTAATCCTGATTCTTTCCAAATTTGCTGGCAGGGACTCCAAATGATTTAATAGGTAATTAATCTGATTAGGAAGCTTTGGAAGCTTCAAAGTTTACTTTGAAGTGGAATTGTTGGAAATTCTTGGGGCATATTTGTAAGTGGCACCATTTATATCAAAAGTGGTTCCAACATTCCTTTTCTGTATTGCTTTCATGTTTCTTTAAAAAAGTAGCACAGGAAAAAATGTAGTACAGATATGGAATGGAGAGATGCAGGTATAGTTGAGTCTTTGAATATATTCAGAACCATACTTTTTTTTTTGAAAGTCAATGAATTTAATTTATTATAATATTGGAATAAAAAAAGCCTTATAATTTAATAGATACAGGAAAAATTTTTGAAAATTTCATTAAAATATTTCTTGGAAAAGTAGGAATTAGTAAGAACTTCCTCATTATTTTTTAATTATTTTTTTTAGTTACAGTTGACATTCAAAATTACTTTATATTAGTTTCATGTGTACAGCTTAGTGGTTAGACATTTATATCATTTATGCAGTGATCACCCCCAATTAGTCTAGTACCCACCTGGCACTATACATAGTTATTGCAGCATTATTGACTATATTCTCTATGCTGGACTTTTACATCCTGGTGGCTATTTTGTAACTACCAATTTGTACTTTCTAATCCCATCACCTTCACTCCCAGCTCCCCAGCCCCCTCTCCTCTGGCAGCCATCAGCTTGTTCTCTACCTATGAGTCTGTTTGTATTTTGTTTATTTTGTTCTTTAGATTCCACATATAAGTGAGATCACATGGTATTTGTCTTTGATTTATTTCACTTAGCATAATACTCTTTAATTTAGGTCCATCCATGTTGTCACAAATGGTAAGATTTCATTCTTTTTTATGGCCTAATAACATTACATTGTTTATATGTAACACATCTTCCAGTAGTCTATTAATGGGCACTTGGGTTGCTTCAGTTTAACTGTGTCTTTCTGTCAGATCCCAATTAGTGTTCAGTAAACAGAAATGCTCTTTAAAGACACTTTTGCAGGAATGTCTCCATTCCTTGTGTCAAAGAATAGCTGCCTAAATATTGTGTGGGTTTATGGCAACTAGTTCTTCAAGAAATAAAGTTTTTGTAAATCTAAATTATTTTGCTTTTGTTTTTTTATAGTAGATTATTTCTGCATCTTGAAGCTAAAGCAAAAATCTTCTCTTGAATAGATGGATTTTTGTCACTTTCTGTGAACTAAAGCGATTCAATGTCTCTTTTGGTAAGTTTTTGTTAACGTGGATCTAATTTTGTGCCATCAGAGTAGTTAGATGTTAATGCAGAGCTATGACAAAAGGCATATTCTGATGGAATATTCTTGGCTCTGAAATGTTAAGAAATGAGTTAAATTCTCATTGAATTTTTATCTCTTCAGAAAAGAGTGTCTCCTATACTTTTGCAATATACTAATTATTCTGTTCCTTTGCCCCATACCCATTTTTTCTCTTACATATGCTGTACTTGTATATGCCTCTTTCATCCAGTTAGCTATGCCATATCCTTTAAATCTTTAAAATCCCTTTTACAAATTTCCATCTGACTAAAGGCAATTGCAAAATAGTATTAAAAGTAAATCCCTTGACTTAACAGCATGACAAAAAAACATTTGGATTAATGTATAATATGATGTATAGGTACCAACTTGTTTTCTATTTATATTAGATCCATGGTGTCTGCTTTAGATTAAGTAGTTTTAGGACTTTGTGTCTTATGTAGAATACAATACAATACTTGACTATTTGAATTATTATATTAAAGCAGTGATCTTTTAAAAAGTGGTGCATATTTATGATAATTTGTAGTTTACAAATACTTTCATACATTATATCTCTTTCAGTCTTCAAAATTGTGAGTGATTGGCAGGGCAGGTGGTATAATCCTCATTTTGAGTTTGGCCCAAGATTGCAAAGAATTAGAGCCAGGGCTCAAACTCATCTTCCAATCACCTCCTTCATTTGCCAGGTCTGAGAAGCAAAACTACGAATTTAGGAGACTGCCTTGTTAGTTATATAAAAATACAGAATGCATTTACTTTATGTTTAAA